TTTTTTTTTTTTTTTTTTTTTTTTTTTTTTTTTTTTTTTTTTTTTTTTTTTTTTTTTTTTTTTTTTTTTTTTTTTTTTTTTTTTTTTTTTTTTTTTTTTTTTTTTTTTTTTTTTTTTTTTTTTTTTTTTTTTTTTTTTTTTTTTTTTTTTTTTTTTTTTTTTTTTTTTTTTTTTTTTTTTTTTTTTTTTTTTTTTTTTTTTTTTTTTTTTTTTTTTTTTTTTTTTTTTTTTTTTTTTTTTTTTTTTTTTGTGTTTTCAAATGGTCGTGGAATCCACCGACATCTTTTCCATAACCAAACCACGACGGTGAATAACCGTCGTTGTTAAAACAAAAAACGTCATCAAAAAATAAAAACCGACGTCTTTGTGCTGCAAAAAGACATAAAAAAGAGTCGAGGATGAGAATAGACGACCAACTCCAACAAAAAAAACGTCGTTAAAAAGGAAACAGATGACATATATTAACAGAACATGGCCGCAAGATAAACATACAACGACGAGAACTTAAACTTCACGCCGTTAAATAAATATTTAACGACAAATATAAATACGACGTCTTTACAATAATAATAGACGACGTTATTGACACCTACTACGTCACAACATTTCCCACAACCGTCGTAAAATAAATTTTCCACTTCGATTTTTCTATGAATTATGACGTGGAAATAGATGTCAGGGTCATTACTTACGACGCATGTATTTACAGAGACGACGTTGAATTGATAAATAACGTCGGTTTCAAATAAATGAGAGCCGTATTACAGAATTTATACGTCATATTTTGAAAATAAACGACGTGGAAAAAATGATGGGGTCATTAATTACGACACAGTAATTTATAAGGACGACGTTGTCGTCTATATACAACGTCGGTACCATGAAAAAGACCGTCGTGTTTAATAATTTATACGTCTTCATTTAAAAAATTGACGTCGTCTAATGCATATATCTTAACGTCGACAAGTTTAATGGACTTCAAATACCGTCGTAAAATAAATTTTCCACTTCGATTTTTCTACGAATTATGACGTGGAAATAGATGTCAGGTTCATTAATTACGACGTATGTATTTACTGAGACGACGTTGAAATGAATAAACAACGTCGGTTCCAAATAAATGAGAGCCGTATTACAGAATTTATACGTCATATTTTGAAAATAAACGACGTGGAAAAAATGATGGGGTCATTAATTACGACACAGTAATTTATGAGGACGACGTTGTCGTTTATATACAACGTCGGTACCATGAAAAAGACCGTCGTGTTTAATAATTTATACGTCTTCATTAAAAAATTAACGTCGTCTAATTCATAAATCTTAACGTCGACAAATTTAATGGATTTCAAATACCGTCGTGAATTCATCCTTTTCCACTTCGTTTATGAAAGAACATGCGACGTGGTAAATTCATGACGACGTCGTCTTTTGTAACGTTCAGGTTAAAGTTCTCGTCTTTTAGACGTCGGTGTTATGGGATTGGAGACGTGTTATGTTGAATTACATGGCGGTTCTTTATCAAAACCGTCGTGTTTGTAATCTGGAACCAGTAATTTTTGTACTGATTGTTTTGTGGCCAAAACCTGTATAATGAAAGTGAAGAAATCACATTACAATATATTACAAAATTAATGTCATACACTGCCAATTACATAAAGCATCATTCAACCCATATATCTTCACACCCATCTCGAATATTTTGACTCCCTAACTCAACCACCACTTCATCAAATGTGTCAACATTTGGCATCCCCCTAGTAAATGGCTCACACTCAATTCTCACATCACCTAAGACATCATCACCAATAACATCATTATATTCTCTATTAGGCATTGATAACACTACCGACCAACCACGATGCATCGGGTCGTCAACAAAAAATACTTGTTTGACTTGAGAAGCCAAAACAAATTGGTCATTCCTATGTCCAATTTTACTCAAATCTACAAGGGTAAATCCAAGTTCGTCCACTACAAGACCAGAAGTATTATCAATCCAATCACACCTAAAGACTGGGATTGTAAACTTTTGGTAGTCAAGGTCCCAAATTTCTTGAATGACACCATAGAAACCCATATTTGAGAGAATTGGGTTTTTATCCTTGGCACTAGCAACTTGCATAGTATGTGCAAGTAAATAAAACTCCCTATTTTGAGTTGTCCGCACATCATCTTGTGCCTTGATGTTGAATTTAATACCTTTAATGAGATAGCTCCTATATAATGGCACTGCCATGTTTGGACCAGCTGCTAGCCACCTTAAATTTTCTGATACGCCATGATTGTCTTCCTCATTAAGTTCACTTTGAACCTGCAAATTAATCATAACTTAATTCAATCTAACATAGAAAGAAGAAAATTAAAAGTCCAATATGTTATTCAATAACATATACCTTGAAGCGTAGCCATTGAATGAAAGTGCTATTGTGCTTATCCTGCAGCCACTTTGTTCTCTTTCTAAATTTTGGATAAGCGGTCTGGATGTGGATCATATGTTGCCTACATGACACACAAAATTCAAGTATTACGGTCCCAAACATATAAGATAAACATAAGAAATAATTTAAAATGGAAACTTAAAGAATAAAACTCATACGTACTCGATATAAGGTAGGACTCCTCCGTATTCTCCAAGACATATAGATGTGCGGTTCAACAGGTCCCGATCAACTACGCTCACTGTGCAACCTGATAATGGCTTTGAAACTCCCATCTTTTGGCTTGAAGGCACTCCAACTGTACTAACATCAGATAAATGCTCGGTACAAAACTCTACAGCTTCTTCAGCTATAATACCGCTCAGCAATGCAACCTTCGGGACGAGTACGATTCTGAACATACCCCTTTAGCACTTTCATATATCTTTCAAACGGATACATCCATCTAAAATATACTGGCCCACACAGACGAACTTCTCTGACAAGAGTACTACTAGAGAACCATGATATCAAAGAATGAAGGGGGAAAGTACTTCTCAAGCAAACACAAAGTAACTACTACATCTTCTTCCAACTTATCTAGCTTGGAAACATCAACGTCTGCACATAATTGAAGAAGAAGCACAAACGAGTTATTGCATACCTTGCCGCTTCTCCAAAACAGAACGAATTGCCACGGGACAATTGTTGCATTAAGGTATCAATCATGTGATTTAAGGCCAAGAAGTCCTTGAATCTTGTAAAGATACAAGATTTTTTTATATTTGAAGAATAACCTTCAGGGACCTTCATACCATAGAAAGAATTGCAAACCTCTCTCTTCTCTGCTCTTGACAAATTCCAAGGCCCGGGAGGCAAACGAGTACGTCTTTCTCCATACTCGGGTTGCAAATCAGTTTTGACCCCCATGTTCAATAAATCTAATCGAGCAGCAATCCCATCTTTATTTTTTCCAGGGATCTCCAGCAATGTACCAATGATACTATCGCAAACATTCTTCTCAATGTGCATAACATCTAGGACATGCCTCACAGGAAGGTATTTCCAATACTCGAGATCAAAGAATATTGATTTCTTCTTCCAACAAACTCTGTCACCATCTTCAACCATATGCAGCACTTCTTCTCCGGTTAATGGCTCAGGAGGCGTGCCATATTCAGGTTTCCCATTAAAAGCTGCACGTTGCCTCCTATATGGATGATTGATCGGTAACCATTTTCTATGCCCAATGTAACAAATTTTGTGGCCATTTTTCAACCTGTGACTAGGTGTATCATCGCCGCATATTGGACAAGCTTTATATCCTTTAACAACACAACCAGATAAGTTTCCATAGGCGGGGAAATCATTAATTGTCCACATTAATGCAGCTCTGAGTGTAAAGTATTCTCCATTATGTGCATCATACACTCCTCCAATCCCATCCCACAAAGATTTTAAATCATCAATCAAAGGCTCCAAGTAGACGTCTATATCATTTCCCGGGCTGTTTAGGACCGGAAATCAATAAGGTCAACATCATGAACTTTCGTTTCATGCACAGCCATGGAGGGAGATTATATGTAACTAAGATAACTGGCCAGCAACTATATCTGCTACTTAGAGAACTGTGGGGATTGAATCCATCAGATGAAAGAGCCAATCTCAAGTTTCTCGGCTCATTACCAAACTCGGGCCATTTATCATCAAGAAGTTTCCAAGACGGGGAATCCGCTGGATGAGACATATAACCGTCAATTGATTTTCTAGCAGCATGCCAAGTCAAACTCTTAGCGGTCTCATGTGATCGAAACATCCTTTTAAACCTTGGAATTGGAGGAAAATACCACACCACCTTCGCTGGCACACCCTCTTTCAAGATTGAATCTTTGCCTTCCTTCCACCTTGAGATACCACAATTAGGACAATGAGTTAAATCCTCATACTCCTTCCTATACAAGATGCAATCATTGGGGCATGCGTGCATTTTCTCATAACTCAGCCCCAATGCACACAAAGTCTTTTTGCCTCATACATAGAGGCCGGTATTGTATTTCCGTCTGGAAGCAAATCGCCTTGAAGTATCAATAATTCTGTAAAACAGACATCACTCATCCCATATTTTGCCTTCAAATTATACAACTTCACTAATGCCGATAACTTCGTGTACTTTCTACAACCAGGGTACAATGGTTGATCTCCATCCCCAATCACATTGGCAAACTCATAAGGATCAGATCCAAAATCACCAAAATCATTATCATCCATCTCTATTTCTTCAGACACAAAACTGTACCTACTATGGTCATCATCTTCTTCAACATTTCTACTAGCATTAGTAGCTGCTTCCCAAGGTTCTCCGTGAAATGTCCAATTCTTATAGCTTTGGTCAACTCCATTAAAGTATAAGTGATCCCTTATAATTCCAACCCCAAACAATTTCAAATTAACACATTTAACACATGGACAACGGATATGTGTGGTAGTTAGAAGATTTTCTACAGAAAAGTTCAAAAATGCTTCCACCCCTAACTCATATGCCTTCGATCTTCTATCCGAGTGCATCCATGACTTATCCATCTCCGACACTATACCCTATTATATATAATAAAGTGAAAAGACAAGCAATGACCATCACTATAGCAGATTATATAAAGTCTAATAGCAAGTAATATACAACAGAGACGACGGTTTTTTAAACAAAAACAGACGTATTTGACATATATAGACGACGGATTTTACGTCGTCTAATTGTAACCACGACGGTAGTTAAATAACACCGTCGTGTATAAGTAATAAAAACGACGGTTTAAAGTAAAAACCGTCGTCGTATGCCTGAAAACGCGTCGATATCCAGTTTATTTTCAAGATCCCAAAACCCTATTAAGAACACAACATAGACATGAAACCAAGCAAGAAACCAACATATACATGAAACCAACATATACTAAGCATGAAAACAATAAATCCATTCCCAATTCAACATAACAGAGAGTGATTAAAAGATCCGACAAAATGAAATCCATTCCATATTCAACATAACAGAGAGTGATCAAGAAAACATTAAACAGAAAATCCATGAACCCATACCTCCAACAACATTATTAACAGATCGCAAAACATATACCTAAAACCCTTTAACAAAACACCGTAATATATCATTCAATGAATTTACAAGGGGAAGAGAGGGTTTGTACTTACAGGTTGGCAGAGCTCACAGATTATGACCAAATTGGATTTGACACAGCCTGGCCCAACTTTGAATTAGAGATGAAGTGAGAGAGCGAAATGTTATGTTGCGCGAAATCAGAAAATTTTAGGGTTCAGGGTTAGAAGTATAAAAATAAGAGCCAAATCTGAAAATTTTAGGTCCCGCGAATATTTTAAGAAAGCGCGCTTTTTAAAACATCGACCGAAAATACAAGCGTCGTTAAAATTTAACATTAAACATGACGCTTATTACATTAAGGACGTCGTGGTAAAACTATGTACCACGCAAAATCAAAAAAGGCGTTAAAACTATGAAAAACCACGGCGGGGTTAAGTAACTAACGACGTTGTAAACAATAATAAACGACTAACAGGTAAACAAAACGTCGTTTAAAAAAGAAACCACGTCGGATTTTTCACCATACGACGTAAACTCAATATTCCACGACTCAATCACCGTCGTTAAAAGTAATACCCTAAACTTTAAAACCATAAATTATATATGTGTAAAATTTAATTTTATAAAATTGTTTATGGTTTTACATCCTAATAAATAACAAGCATAAACCCTAAACCCCAAAAATTATACTTTAACCATAAACCCTAATAAATAACAACCCTAAACCCCAAACCCTAAACCCTAAACCATCAAACAATATAAGTGATGCTATGACTCATAAAAACAATTTTATTTTGGTTGGTCATTTTAAACTTTTCATTACACAAACTGCATTTTTTTGGGGTTTAGGGGGAAGAAAATATATCAATGACTTCATAGGAGTTGAAGTTGAATTTTTTGAATTTATTTTAAATTTATTTTTAAAATTTTGAATTAAAAATAATAAAATATTCTTATATCAACAACAAACCACGGCGGGGTTAAGTAACTAACGACGTTGTAAATAATAATAAACGACTAACAGGTAAACAAAACGTCGTTTAAAAAGAAACCACGTCGTATTTTTCACCATACGACGTAAACTCAATATTCCACGACTCAATCACCGTCGTTAAAAGTAATACCCTAAACTTTAAAACCATAAATTATATATTTGTAAAATTTAATTTTATAAAATTGTTTATGGTTTTACATCCTAATAAATAACAAGCATAAACCCTAAACCCCAAAAATTATACTTTAACCATAAACCCTAATAAATAACAACCCTAAACCCCAAACCCTAAACCCTAAACCATCAAACTATATAAGTGATGCTATGACTCATAAAACAATTTTATTTTGGTTGGTCATTTTAAACTTTTATTACACAAACTGCATTTTTTTGGGGTTTAGGGGGAAGAAAATATATCAATGACTTCATAGGAGTTGAAGTTGAATTTTTTGAATTTATTTTAAATTTATTTTTAAAATTTTGAATTAAAAATAATAAAATATTCTTATATCAACAACAAACCACGGCGGGGTTAAGTAACTAACGACGTTGTAAACAATAATAAACGACTAACAGGTAAACAAAACGTCGTTTAAAAAAGAAACCACGTCGGATTTTTCACCATACGACGTAAACTCAATATTCCACGACTCAATCACCGTCGTTAAAAGTAATACCCTAAACTTTAAAACCATAAATTATATATGTGTAAAATATGAAAACCTCAGCAAATTGTTTTTTCTTTTATAATATGAAAACCTCAGCAAATTGTTTTTTCTTTTATAATATGAAAACCTCTGCAAATTTTCAGGGAAAAAAAGGATGTATATTATAGACAAAATTTGTACATTATATATTATAGACAAAATTAGTACATATAAAAATATCAAGTGTTCCAAAAATCCTCTAATCCATATGAAGGCAAACAAACTCTGCCCATTCTTTCCTGACTTCATCAATGGCTGCTTGGGGGTATGGCGCTTGATCTTTTCCCTTGGCAAACTGCAATCCATAAACAACGATTATTAAGCTTTACAAAATAAAAAGAAATTCAGTCACAGACGACGTTTTTTTTTATAACCGACGTAGTCTATCGATTCAACGACGGTAATTTTAAATGACCGTCGTTGATAATACAAAAACCAAATAAAATGTTTCTGAAAATTTTTTTCTTACCTTCTTCTCAAACTCCAAGGAAGGATCCATGATGATGTCCCTCATGAAGCGCATGACATAATACCCGCATTCGACACTGCTGGGTTGCTTTGGTGTGCCTGGCAGAGTTTTCCAAATTGGTGCTTTACGGCCTGGTCTGCCTATGTGGGAATTATAAATTTTTAAAGCACTGTTCACGATGTTTTTGCCCTCCTCATCCACCACACGATTTCCAGGCAGAGGATCCAGAAAATAGACGGTTTCCCTCTTTGCCCTCACAATCAGCAAGACCCAATGACGGCTGCACAAAAATAAAATAAAAAACGACGGTTATTTATAAAAACCGACGTATTATATAGTTTCACACGACGTAAGAACTTAATCATCGACGTGATTATAAATTTATCACGACGAGAATTAACTACCGACGTGGTTAGTTGTTTCAAACGATGGTATAAATAAATAACCGACGTGGTTAGATGTTTCAAACGACACAGAATTAGTTAAACAGTTTTATAAGTGAAAATCATACAAACAAAATCCATTTAAGGAGACTAACCCTGGATTGTAAGGCATCATGAAAATCTGTTCACCATCTGTTTTCTGAAGTCGACTGGCTACAATTCGTGATCTGTCAGTTAGTGACCCAGCGTTGGCACTAACTTGAGCAGGGTCGATAAAGCCAACCATGCTGCACATATTTGCTTCTCTCAAAAGATCATATAAGCACCTAAATATATAAAACAAACGACGGTTATTTATACACAAACGACGTATTATACAATTTCACACGACGAACTGAAATAGAAACAGACGTGATAACTAATTTATCACGACGGTAAAAAAGAACGACGTGGTTAGTGATTTAAAACGACGCAATAATTAAACAACCGACGTCTTATGATATAATGTTTGATATTTGATTAGGACAAACCTCATATATACTGCAACCACAGTAGCCCCAATTTCTTCCATGCCTGCAAACTGTGTAATATCTTCATGCAAGACGAAGGTACTTCGATCTGCACCAAACACCTCCTTCTCAATGTTGAAGGTCATGATCTTCCCCTGTGGCTTTAGTGTAGTTTCCACATAACCACAAAGGGATTGTAAGGAAGATGGCACCTCCACATTTGAATAATCAACTACTTCATTACCCTGTTTAAAGAAATAAAGCAAAATAAATGACGTGGTAATTCATTAAAAACGACGGTTTAAATTAAAAAACGTCGTCTGATTATAATTTAAACGACGGTAATTAAATACCGTCGTTTTAGATTATTTATTACGTCGTAGAAAATAAATTCCGACGTCTAATGTGAAAACAAACGACGGTTTAAAGAAAATATCGACGTCTGAAATGTGAAAAACAAATTAAAAAGGCAAAGTTATGAGAATATACCTCCTCGTCATGCTTTTCTTCATCTTGTTTTTCTTCTTTCTTCTCTTCAACATTTGTGTCTTCCTCTTTGCCTTCATCTTTATTCTCTTTTTTTCTTCCTTCTTCCCTTCATCATTTTTTTTTCTCCCATCTTCTGTTCATCTTTATTTTCTTCTTTCTTCTCTTCATCTTGATTATCTAAAGCCCCAGATTTCTGTTTTAAATAATAAAGAAATATATATATAAGACAGATTGTACAGAGAGTAAAAAAATTAAACCAAAACGTCGTGGTAAGGCATAACATAAGACGGTATGTAAGAATTATGGACGTCTTAAAATTATTAAACGATGGTAAATAATAAACGTCGTGGTAATTTTATATCACGTCGTTAAGGACAAAAACCGTCGTCTAAAAGCCACAAAGTACGACGTCTAATGGCGTGTAAAACAAGTAAACTAAATACGACGTGGTATTTAAATAAACACGACGGGTTATTTATAAAATCGTCGTGGTATGGTTTTAAAACGACGGGTTTATTCATAATAACGACGTCTAATGTTAAAAAAAAACAGAGAATTCAAAGTTCAGTTATGTTACCGTTTGTTCCTGCTGTTCCCCATTTCTGGCAGTATCATCCTCTAAATGTAGGGATCTCACTTCAGCCCCAGAACAGCTTGCTTTATCAGACATTGGATTTTGGGACTTTGCTGTAGACTTGGTTTTGTTTTCGGTTTAAGCATGCTTGGATCAAAATTGGGGATGAGGTGGGAAAGCTGACTTAGTAAATGTTCCCTCTCAGCCTCTACTAATTGTTTGGTTCTAGCTTCCATCTTCTTAGTCTCTTCTTGAAGGACAATTCTTACACTTTCCTTCAATTGATCAGCAAACTTCACCCTTTGTGGTCTAGGTAAATTGAAGAATTGCCTAGGGGAAATCCCAG